TCTCGATGCCGTGTCCCTGCGCGTTGCAGATCTCGGAGCCGGACGAGTTTGACATCATGCTCACCATGTCCGTCCCGCGGCTTCAGCTCGATGCGTGCGACGCCACGGGAGCCTTTTACTATGTAACGCTCAAAAGAAACCCCAGAGAAATGTACTTGAGTAGGTTTCTAGATGAAGAAGGAAAATTATCAGCCTTAGAAATGCTTGAAGCACTAAGGAAGATTATTAAAGAGGAAAACATAAACATAAGCAGTAAGTATTGAAAACATAAGCAGTAAGTATTGAGTGAATGAGTTACACCTAGGAATGAAAAAAAAATCCTATTAAATTGCACATATGCATTGTTCTTGCTAGCCTCTTCCTTCCCACCCAGCCCGAACCGCAGGGAACTCCCCTTCTTCTCACCTCCCGTTTGCTCTTGTTCCAAGAACCGCCACGCACACCAGCAGGGATTACCTCATGCAGTTAATATATTGGATTACATAATGGACCCACTTCTGTATGAAAAAAGGGTCTCACCTCCCGTTTGCTCTTGTTCCAAAAACCGCCACACACACCAGCAGGGATTACCGCATGCAGTTAATATATTGTATGAAAAAGGAATGTATGAAAAATCTGTATGAAAAAAGGAATCTGTATGAAAAAAGGAACATTTAGGGTTAAAAGGGGATAACATGAAGTCCATGTTTGGTACTCCCAAAATGACCTGAATCCGTTTGCATTATGCAGAGAGCTGGTTGCATAGTTGGTGGCATGCAGAGCCTTCCTTTATGAATCACCTGTATCTATCCCCCCTCAATATGTTGCTCTTCTTCTGGAAAGCCTGCAGGAACTTGGGAGTCTCTTCATCTTGTTTTTCACAGTAAGGCAGCTCAGAAAAACACATTACTGTGTCTACAGACAGTCTCTCCATTTTTGAATTCCTCAATAATCCTTAATGCTTTATTCAAAATGTATTTTAATAAAACATTGATGTAAAATGAAAAATATGATTTTTTTTGTTACTAGCTGCAGAAGTAACTGTAACAAGGAAAAAACCTGGATGCCCTGCAATTACACTTCAGATCAAAAAGCCTCCATCAGAAATCTCCTTGGACATCATCTTGGCTTTGAAAGTTAATCAGAGCTGGCCTCTCAGCACAAAGGACGGCCTTCCAGTTGGAGAATGGCTAGGAAGAAAAGTCAGGAATAAGCTCAGATACGAAGAGTTTTATTTAGTAGCCAAACAAAACAAAGAGGAAAAGGTGCTAAGAGGTATCTCACATACAGACAATAAGCCTATGTTGTGGCATAGAATCATAGAATGGTTAAGGTTGGAAGGGACCTCTAGAGGTCATCTAGTCCAACCCCCCTGCATACGCAGGGTCACCTAGAGCACGTGGCACCAGACTGTGTCCAAGCGGGTTTGGAAGATCTCCAGGGAGGGATACTCCAAAACCTCTACTTCATTTTTTTTTTCCCCTTTCAACTTTCATCTTAACTTCATTTCACTTGACAAGTGCTACGAACTGAGTATCCTAATTCTGTTTATTATTGTGTCACTAAGGCAGAGTTTTTTGTATTTTTCCTGGGTACTTCCAGGGCAAAGACAACTGAAAGCCTGCTTTTAAAACCCAGATTTGTGACAGCTCAACCTGTACTGAAATTTCAAAATAAGACTGCTGTGCCAGACTATCCTACCCATTCCAAATAGCATTAAGGTAACACATGAACATGGATTTTCCCTATGACAGTACTGAACTTAGCAATATTCGATTCCTCTGCTACAAGAGAGTTTCAGATTTCTAAAGCCAAAGAACATCCCTCTAAATGTAACTTGACACTTTGCATACAGTTCAATACTTTTAGGTTTATTCTGCAAAACTGACAGGATACAGTATTTCTCATTCAACTCCAAATGTTAAGGAGTGCTACATAACTTTTATTTTCAGATGACTGTCACCCTGTGCCTACGTTAGTTTGTAGAAACCACCTCAAATTGCCACTGGATTACAGGACTAGTCCATTTTAGCAAGGAATAGTTGGGGCAGCTTGGTATATTTTAATTGGCAGAGCATTTCATACCGTGCCACCTAAAAGTCATTACTGCTCCGTTGGTCTCTCTCTTCCAGTGAAAATTAAATGAAATCAGTAACTAAACAAAATGGGGCAGAGAAACAGTCTAATTTATATGAGAAAGACAAATTTGTCTCAGTGTTATAAAAACTGAGGAGAGCTATATATATATGTTTTTTTTTCCAGCAACACGAAGAGAAAAAAAGTTGTTTAGGACAAGTTCACAAACATTAATTGCACAGTAAGATAGAAACTTATACCAATATCACCATTTGTTTATTCAAAAGCAAATTGTTTTAATAGTAATGCTGATGATACAGAGCAAATTTAGAAGCAACTTCTGTGGACAGTGTGATTATTTCCCAAATCATGTTCAGCAAATGCAGTGAGGTTCAGAATTAAACTTAATTTCAAAGGGAATGTAAACATCCCTAGGAGAGGACACATAGAGCACTCATATGAAATCTGCCCTATACTAGTAACAGTCCAATTGTGATTGTGTGGAGTGGCAGGAGGACTAAGGAAGAACTAATTAATTACAGTAATTGCTGAATTAACAGTGCTTTTTAAAGCATAAAGAAATGGCTGATATTCTAATTAAGTCCAATTTAAATATGTCTCTTTTTGTTAAAGACAGTGATACAAGCCATTTAACCATTTTCTACTCACCACTTTAGGAAACACTTGGCGCCTGTCCTTCTCACATACTGAAAAGGAAATAATAACAAACCATGGTAACGGAAAGACATGTTGCGAATCTGATGGAGTAAGATGTTGTAGGTTGGTATTTCCATATGAAAATTTCAGAGGTTTGAGCCACAGTATTATTTAGCACTGCTTCAGCTGAATGTTTAAATTATGAATTTGTTTCAACAGTTATTAGGTCATAGAAGGGAGGGAGAACGAGGCTTTTAGGCACTGCTTCCCATACTGCTGTGCTGCAGCAGACAGCAGTGCAACCTTACTCCTTGCTGAACATGCCTGACTTTGACTGAATGGGAAATGCAAGGAAATCCCACTGCTGGCTTAGACTTCAGATTTGCTAACTGATGTGAGTTGTGGAATGCTCCTTCCCAAACCCAGTCCTATTTAGAAAAAATAGCTCAAACGGACAGCTTGGCTTTCTGGATTTGGGGAGCAAATTTCACCTCCTGCCATGGCAGTTTTTTTTAAATGATGATGTCAAGAAAAGAATGGCTCAAGGGGATGAAGACCAATACGTGTTATTTTTCACTCTATCAAAAAAATAGTTTCATAGGAACAGCAACAATCCTGTACAGAATATATGTAAAACAGCTCCATAAGTTACTTAAACAGATCTGCTATTGAATAAAATACATAAATAAAAATCAAAAAACAAAACAGTCAGTCACAGGAGTCACTCTTTTTTTTCTTTCCCTTTGCTTTTGGAGTAGCAGACATGCCCAGCAATGTTTTAAACTCCATATGCCCATATTCCCCTCAGTGTAAAGCCCATAGGGCACCTTTAATCTCCAGCAGCCCCGGGGGCTGCAGCGCTGCTGGTGGCAGCTGCAGCAGAGCCAGGAGGCTGCTGAGCACAGGGCTGAGCAGCACCTCCCACAGCTGTGGCACCAGAAAGACACCTTCCAGCACAGAAACTACTCTTTAAAGTAGAAATATTTTGTTGTTAGGATTAAATAAGCTCATAGATGCAGTACATCTAGGACTATGTAGCATACTACAGCATTTTTTTTTTCAGATTTTATACAAAACAGTATTGAAAATATTATTTTAGTATAGTAAGAGCATTTTTTTATGGCTTTCATGAATAAGGTATATGTTAGATATTTCAAACTGAGTATGTAGGAAGCACCTAATCACTTCTTTTTTGTTTAACAGGAAAGACTGTCTTAAGATTCTGAAGTATCTGCTACAGCAACTTAAAACAAAACATCAGAAAGAATTGCAGAAATTCTGTTCATATCATGTAAAAACTGCGTTTTTCCACTCATGTGCCAGGTGGCCACATGATGAAGACTGGCGGTGGGAAGACCTGGATTACTGCTTTCAGCGATATCTGGAATATTTTCTGGAGTGCCTGGAAAATTCTCAACTTCCGCATTTTTTTATTCCCCAGTACAATTTAATCAGCCAGACTGATAGAGCAAGCCAAAAGTTCCTTATCAGGGAAATAAACCATCAGATGAAAAACAGATTCTTTTTTTTTTCAAGAGGACAATTAAAAAAAAAAAAAAACTATTTACAGCATCCAATGAAAATCCTCACAAATTTGCATATGCTGCTAGTCTTCTACTGTCAAATAAGTTGTTTCTCAGCTGTCTGGTACTGTGGAAAACAGGAACAATCAGTACAGTCAATTCCATATTCCAATCACTCTACTTGGCCACAGCTCTTAGAAAGACAATACTTTAAGTAATACTTTACCTTCCTCTGTCCAAATTAAGATACCACCTGCAAAATATCTTCAGGATACACTAAAAATATATAGACTTTGCAAGAATTAATTTATTGATTTGCTAGACATATTCTACAATTCCAAATATTAAGGCACCAGTGACAGTCAAACTGAATGGTTTTATTCAATATGAAAGCTTACTGCAGAATCTCCAAAATTAAAGAAAAAAAAGTAAGCTGGATTGTATAGACTGTAGTCATTTTAATCATTTTATTGAGGATTTATTCAGGGGGAGTTGCTGGCATCATGGAGGGGGATAAACAAAAGACATGGCAGGGTATAACTGGAATAAGGACCAAGCCCTAAAGCCTCCAGTCACTAACTGAGGGGTCACTAGAAGACTATGGGTAGAGATCAGAGAGGACCAGCATGGACTTGTAACTGGTAAGGGGAAAACGGGATAAATGAGGATCTGGGCTACTGGAGAGGCTTGTGGGGTTATGCAAAATCTACTAAGAACTGTTCAGCCAAGGAGGAGCAAGGAGGCACTCGAGATGAGGGGAAGGGGCCAGGGTGTTTAAGCAGTTGCCTGTCAGTACCTTGCTTGATCACTGCAGTCTGCCTTGTCTTTTATTAAATCCTTACTTAACCATCTTTCCATATAACCTAACTCTGTTTTGTGTAAGTGCTTCAAAGTTTTGGAGACAGCAACAGGAAATGCAAAATGAAGTGAGGGCCCTACACATGGTGCCAGCAGCATGTGGTGTGGAGCAAGAGAGGAGCCCCCAGTGTTGGCCCCTGGAGCAGGACCAGGCATCAGGATGCCAGGGCACCAGCTGCAGCATTTGTGTTTTTCCAGAGACACCTCCACCAAGGACCCCCACCAGCACTACTGAACACAGGCACAATATGGTAACAAGAGAGTTACGTCCCTCAAACAGCTTATGTCCTTTTCCAAGGCTTCACATGGGAAAGCAGTCTTTTCCCTGGGCTTTGCAAAGGAAACGGTCATTATCCAGCGTGCTCTACCTGAGGGCTAAGATACGAAAAGAACGCACAGAGAAGGTAACAAATGCAACATTAGTGCCACAGCATGCAAGTGATTTAATATAAAAATGTTATGAAGACCTTTTGCATCCCAGTGCATCATTAGTATTAGCCATGCTTTTATTTTGGAAATTCAGTAACGCCAGCTCTTGGGGCAATCAGTATTTGTGCAGAGATCGCTGTAGAAAAGTTCACATCATTTTTATCCTTCTCAAAGAGTTCCCATTTAAGTGATCACTAGAATTAAAATGCAGCACAACACAGAAATTCTCAAGATTTTTGTTCATCTTAACTTACAAAACTCAAAATTCTACTACACTGCAAGAGCAGAGCTCAGGCACAATACAGTTTAGCTCATCTTGCTTTGTCTGAATGGCATTGATGGCTATAGTTTAAACAGCTCTTCATTATCCTGCCCAGAGAGAATTCAACTTGGTTCTTACAGTGAAGAGCATTAGGGGAAAAAAAGAATTGACATTTCCCACTTTCATGATTTTGCAGTTTATAAATATCTATCATTTGAGAAATGCTGTGCTGTAAAAAACTTCTTTGGCTTTTCTTAAGGAAGAGGACATGGAAGTCTTTATTTTAAGCCTATTTTTTGAAGGCAAAATATCTGTCATCTTAATGTACATATTTTACATCAATTATTAAAAAATCAGAAGAAACTTCAGAGAACTGTATTATTAAAATATTCTCATTCATCAGATTTTATCAGTTTTCCATTTACTGACAGTGCACACATAAGTAAACACAAGTTGAGAGTAGCATCACTTGCACAGAAATGCCCCCTTTCCTTCTAAGGGAGTAAAAGGGAAATTCTGTTACCATTATTGGTCTGCTTGAGAGAGCCTGACACCCAATTGCAAGGTTTCTTGGAGTCAAATAAAGCTTCTTTTCTTTTTTTTTTTCCTCTCCTCTCCTCTAAGCTGCTCTTATGACTTTCTTAATATCATTCTGGTAAATGACTTCCCTGCTCCTCCCCACCCTAAGCCAAAACAAACATCCCTGAGCACAAAAGTGGAAGTTACTTTTCTTTTCCACCTGGCCATGGAACAAAGGCCTCTTACAATTCTTCTCTGACGAAAGGAGATACAGACTTCGCGAAAAAAAAGTCTGAGACACAAGTATTGACAAAAATATCTTTCAACATTAGTTTTAAAATATCAAATACTTGTTTCAGCAACATTGGTGACTGCAAACAAAGCAGCTGTCAAGTAACTATAACTTAACATCAGAAATACTCCTGCATGCCTCTGGCATTAGGGGAGAAGTACGTACAGTATTTCGAAACTGCACTGACAAGCGTCGCTTCCATTCACTAATCCAGCATTCTGAAAATAATAGTAACAAAAAAGTATCTTTTACACTCTCATATGCTAATAATGCAATAAATTTTAAAAAGAAAAGAGTTTTTGCTGTTAAAATGACTAAGTTACATGCATGAAGGAAATGGTACTGAAGTAAACTTTTCCTGAACTCAAAAATAACACCTGGACGCAAAGCTAGCTTTGTTGCTAAAAATAATAAAGGGCCAATTTTATAAAGTAGTGTAGGTGCATGGATTATTTAAATATGACATGTACAAAACTCAAGTCCATAGGTGCTACACAACCTATAATCACTTACACTTACTTTGTTTCAGTAACTTCAAGGTGATTACAATTCTTTCGGATGCCGTCTCTGAGGTCTTCTAATATCTCTTTCAATTTCTTTTTTTAGCTGAAATTGTTTGTATCTTTCTGCCATTGAAATAAGCTCACTAGGAACTGCCTGGCAATAAAACAGCATGAGAAAGAGTCAGTTTTATGCAATTCTGTAAGCTTTTAGACATCTGCTTCACACCTCTGCTACAAAAGCATAACTGACTAGAGTATTCCTAAACTAGATCTTGTTACTCATCTGGTCCCTGTCACTTTGCAAATTTGCTTTTCTAGAGACCTTCTGGTACACAGTACACGCATTCAGAGTGAAGTAAGTGTCAAATTACATCCTAAGGGATAAATCAGATCATATAATTCCCCTGCAGGATGCACGTGTGCACATCCACATACACGCACAGGCTAAGATTTTTTGTGGTGGTGGTGGGGAAGGATGTTTTGATTAACCTTGGAGATTCCTTTCTTGGACTCATTTGTATTAAGGTAAGATACAACTGCAAAAAGTTCCAAGGCTAAGGGTATTCAGGACAGAGGCATTTAGTGATCTTTTTTGCTGAGACACTTTCCATGCGTGTAACGTCAGCAGGCTCTCATGTTCACAACCTGGTTCAGAGGGCAAAGCACAATCAGGCTAAGACTTAGCCAGACTCTTACTTGGTTTGCTCTTTCCAGAATGTCTATCAGCTCGGATGCAACTCTCCAATCATTCTTAGTGACAAGTGTTACTGCCTCCCCAGTACGCCTAAAACAAGGAACAAAAACACGTATCTTCACAAGAGAAGGTAACTACACTGTTAGGCTTTTCCTACCAACAAATAATTCAGTTAGTAACTGGACTACAGGCAGCGTTTCTGCCGTTTTAGATAAAGCTGGTTGGAATACTTGCTATGCACATGACAGAATACAACTTTTTGTTTTTGTGAAGGTCAGAATAAGGCAGTTCAGCCAAAATACAGCAAAAGAACAAACACTTTAGAATTTTACACAACAAATCTATATACAAGTATGCAGAGTCATGCATTAATATCTCAAATAAAAGAGGAATAAGAAAAAAATGTTCCAGGTTGGGCAAGCAGCATTCCTTCTCCCTAACAGCAAGCTATACCATCATTATAGGCAGAAAACTCTGAACTTAATTATTTTACCATGGAACCAATTGGGAAATGAAGTAGTTGAGCAGTTACAATACTTCCTACTGTTAAAACATTTTTCAAACATTCCATCCCACAAGGGAATTCAAAAAAAAAAAAAAAACCCAAAAATGTAAAGCTCATTTGCTTTCAATATAACAGTTGGCCAATTTCCAAACACAAAGCAGTGCATTATGATCCGAGGAAGGCTCTGGTACCCACTGGCAGCATCACTCCTCCCTTCCGCATCACCTTAGCTCTAGCATTTGATGCAAAACCCACCAACATTACATAAAATATTGGTATTCATCAACTGCAAATATTGCTTTTGAAAATACTTACCCTGCTCGCCCAGTACGACCTACTCTATGGACATATTCTTCAATGTTTCGAGGGAAGTCAAAGTTAAAAACATGAGTAATGTCATGCACATCAAGACCTCGGGAGGCTAAGTCAGTAGCAATCAGTATTTTGACCTTGCCTAAAAAAATATTAAAAGGAAATATGTTAGTTGTGTCCCACAATGATTGGACTTCAGCTACTAAGCGGCAGATAAGTACTCGTATTGTCATTTTATCATCATTTTATTTCATAGGTGGAACAACAAGGTGCAGAATCAAGCAATGTACCCTCCTGATATGAAGTGTCTACAAAGAGAACAGAAACTTCAACAACTATTTCCTCATCTGGCATTCTTATCACAGGGCTGTCTTTATGTACTTTGGGATTATATGATCCAATGTTAAATCCTCCCAGCATAATTGAATGGAATTGTTGCACTGCAAGCAGTGTCATCTAACACCAGTGTTTGCAGATGTGTAAAGTAGCATCATGTTGGCTGCCCTTCAAAGAATTCAAATAGGCCTTAAATAATATAGCTCTTGGCAATTCTAAGACTTATTGCGCATTCCAATACATTCCAATATTCATTGAACAAAAAGCAAATTCTTTGTTTGCG